ACCACAACTTACTGTTGGAAAAGCTGTGGAGATGTGGAATTTGTGGAGAGATGTGGGGTCTGATCAAAGCATATCTTTCTGGTCGGCAACAATGTGTAACTGTTAGAGGTTGTCAATCTGGCCTTCTACCTGTCACATCTGGAGTTCCCCAGGGGAGCCTCTTGGGCCCTCTGTTTTTTATCCTCTTTATTAATGATCTTCCTGGCTGCACTATTCACTCCAACATGTTACTCTTTGCAGACGATAGCAAATGCAGCAAGTCTATTGCCTCAAGCTCTAACTGCTTGCTTTTGCAGGAGGACTTGGACAGGGTCTGTGAGTGGAGCACCTCTTCAGGTCTGAAGTTTAATTTTCAGAAGACTTTTCTAGTCAGATACAGGCGAAAAAGGGCTGCACCAATTGTTTTTAATTATTGCTTTGGTGAGTCTACTGTCCCCTGTAATACTTCCTGCAAGGACTTAGGCATAATATTCCAAGAGGACTTATCATGGTCTGCTCAGGTCAAAGCTGTTCTAGCCAAGGCATATAAGACTCTATCTTTATTGAGGAGAACTTTTAGGGCTGCCTCTACTCCCACTGTAGTTAAAAAGAAGTTGTACCTGTCTCTGATTATACCCATTTTCACATACTGTGCTCCAATATGGAGGCCCTCCCTTATCAAGGACATATTGGCTTTAGAACAGTTCCAGAGACGTGCCACCAAATACATCCTGAATGACTATTCCTCTAGTTACTACTCCAGACTAGTGGCACTCAGAATACTTCCACTCATGTACAGACTGGAACTTGTCGATGTGATGTTCTTTGTGTCCTCTTTAAAGCAACCATCTCCTCACTTCAATATCCTAGACTATGTCTCCTTCTGTTCCTCCACGACTCGTTCCTCCTCAAAGTGGAAACTGATCCACAAGTCATCACCTTCCTCTTCTGTATGGCACTCATTCTCTTGGAGATTTCCCAGATTATGGAACCACCTACCAGCAGTAGATCTAAATGATTCACTTTATGTAATAAAAAAAGAAGATTAAGACTTATTTCATCAATCATTTCAATGCTCATTTTAACTCATCAGACCACCACACATTTCACTTAGTCTGTCCTTGCAATTCATGCTCCTCCAATCCCCTCCCTCCCTCTCTTCAATAACTTTATCTCCTCTCATAAATTTTTCTTCTACCTCTCTCTCTCTATTTTTCTTCTACCTCTCTCTCTCTCTCCTAAATAGTGTATCTTCTCTCTTTCTTTCCTTCTTTCTTTCCACAATTATGTTTTTTTGTGATTTTTATTTATTTTTCTTTCTGGGGTGCCAGATCTTTTCTTGGTATCCCCTCAGGACTGTTCCTCTCCTCTGCTCTCTACTTTTTTCTCTACTCTGTCCTGTAAAATTTTTGATAATAATATAATAATATAAAAAAGTCTGAAGAATTTTGTAGTAGAAATTTGAATTTGGGCCTGTTTTCCAGAAATGCTCCTGCTACATTATAGTTCACTTTAAAGGTACCAGGAGAATCGCTCAGTGAAGGAGAGCTCATCTAAGCCATTTATAAGGCTGTACAACGTAAGATAAAAGAGGTATAAGTGTTTGAAAATCATGAAAACGGACGCCATCTTGAAAAATCAACCTCAATCCTATATATAGGCTACCGCCTATATAATATTTCTGTTTTTAAATTCCTTTATGAATGACTGGACTTCTTTATAAAGGACTCTGTATTTTATGTCTTTTCACTTATAAATTGGTTAATAGAAGCATCTGAAGATATTTACTACCTTAATAGATACATTACCATGAGTGTATGCATGTGTTAATTGCGTAATGATGTATTTGGAAGCAGTTGAAATTCAAGTTATTCACATATGCATACATTTTGGTTCTCACTGACACTGCATGTAAATATTATGCCAGTCTGTCAGACAAATTCATCAATTGCTTATCTCAGATGAACTCATGTATTATAATACTGACTACACTAGTAAGTCATCTGTTATTGTAGCCTACTAATTGTCAGTGTATGCTGTTGCCAATCAAGACTTCAAAGTACAGATTTCAAAGTAAATAGGAATGTACTTGTTACATACATACTTAGAATTCAATTTGTACTTAAAAAATTTTAAAGTATATTTTAAGTACATGTACATGTACATGCCTATTTTTTATAGAAATCAAATTTGTACAAGTACAAATCTAAGAATTCTAAGAAAGAATTCCTTCCCAACCACTAGTCTATACAACATTGATCTATCTCTTAAAAATTATTATTTGAAGTAACTATAACAATACTAATAATAATAATTAGTATTATTATTTATCTTTGTTATTATTTATTTTAATATTAGTAATATTAATTTTGCCTGTATACAGCATTCTCTCCCCTCCTTAGTACCATATGGTACAAGATGACAGAATAGTGGAAATTTGCAAGAATTAATTCTGTGAACTTCCGGATATGGGTCATATGCAACATTTATTATCCTTAAAAAAATGTTATACAGTATCTTTGTGTTTTTTGCCTTCTCCAATTAACACTGTACCACTCCTCCCTGACTCTACCTGCCAGATGTAAGTAGATCTACTCAATACCATCACTTGGAACTTAGTAATTGCTATAATTATAAATTTATAATGATGTACTTGCAAGCAGTTGAAATTATTCATATAATGGATACATTTTGGTTCAATTATGCTTACTGACATTGCATGTAAATATTATGTCAGTCTGTCAGACGAATTCATCAATTCCTTATCTCAGATGAACTCATGTATTATAATACTGACTACACTAGTAAATCATCTGTTTGTACGATAGCTGATGCTGAGTTCTTTTATAGGGACTTCGAAATACTGGCTGTCCGATCGCTCTGGATACAGTAGCACACAAATTGGCTCTTTTGTTTAATGTCTACTTCTCTTCAACTGCACAGCATCACATACTGCGCATGCTCACAAAAATAATATTAATTAACACCAATTAACACACATGAATAATAATAACATCATTTAATTCCCAACACTGTTATTGTAACCTAAATTAATGGTCAGTGTATACTGTAGCCAATCAAGACTTTAAAGTACAAATTTCAAAGGAAATAGGAAATAGGAGTGTACTTGTTACACACATACTTAAATTTCAATTACTTAAACAAACTAGAAAAAAATTATAAAATATATATTAAGTACATGTACATGTACATAGTCTACCTATTTTTATAGAAATCAAATTTGTACAAGTACAAATCTAAGAATTCTAAGAAAGAATTCCTTCCCAGCCACTAGCCTATCTCTTAAAAATAATTATTTTGAAGTAACTATAACAAATAATAATATTACTCATTATCATTGTTATTATTTATTTTAATATTAGTGTTATCATTTTGTATACAGCATCCTCTCCACTCATTAGTATCTCTGTGTTTTTTGTCTCCTCCAATTAACACTGTACCACTCCTCCCTGACTTTACCTGCCAGATGCAAGTACTCAATACCATCATGTGGAACTTTATGTAAGTACAGAGTATGTACAAAACTAAAATTAAGTCATGGACAGTTTCCTCAGTACCAGTGACCATTTCAATATTGTCTGTAGATCCACACACTTTGAGGGACCCACAAGATGATTGTCTAGCTACTGATGATCAGGTTCAATTAATACATAGGTACTGAGGGATGGGTCATCTTTTACTATGATGGGTCAGCTACTGACCTCAACTCTTTATTGTACAAGATTACTTATACTGAGATATTTAATTGCTGTTCAATTACTGTATGATACATAATTACTGTTTTAATTGTATAATTACATGAGCCCACAAGAAGGCATAAAGCGAGGGTAAAGCAGGTCATCCTTTATAGTGCTTTCGTCTCTTACAGTTAAATATTTACATGCAACGTCAGTGAGCATAACTGAACCAAAATACCTTATTAGGATTACAGCATATATTGGAGCAACAATCTTACTAACATTGTTTGTACTACTAATAGTTGGAGCAGTCATTATAATTTGTAAAAAATGTGGAAATGGTAAGACTAACACACATTTAAATCTACTCCTAAAAATACTTATATTATTATTCCTAGAAATTGCTAATGCTTGTTGGTGCTCCCACAGAATCAGTAGATCCATGAATCATATCATCATGTAGTGTGAAAGAGAATGTAGCCTATGGTACAACAGTTGTTGATAATACCATACACATATCAAATAATGTTGCTTATGCTCAAACAGAAAGTGCTACTCAAACAAGAAAGAAAATAAATTCATTAGCTGCTTATGATACTGTTCGCAATTTTCAAATATAGTTAATACTGTACTTTATTCAAATTATTCTTTAAAAATAAACATAATTTTTTGTAATGTGAAGCATGAAGGAATGGGTAGCATGTGTAGGAGAAACATGTACTAATAAAGAGATCAACAATTAATTTACTAATAATGCATGACAATTGGCAATGCTTAGTATTTAATTCACTACAAAGAATAGTAACATTAACATGTATCATCATTATTGATTAATGCTTAAGGAACTTAAAAAACTAGCTTAAACACAGCCTCAGGAGCACAACATCAGTGAATGTAAGTTACTTTACACAAGGGGTGTATTTGCTATTATTTTATTGACAGATTGGTGGGTGCATCTTGCTAAACTTTGGCCTATATGCATTGGTTGCACCCCCTATTAGATCTAGTATGTATCTATATGGCTTAGTTGCTAAGGTGCACAATGCATTGAGTTGTAATAAGAGATTGACCATAGGCTTTGAATATGTTTAAGGTTTCACCCCCTTTTGCACTTTTTGCAGCCTTCTTTATCATTTGCTTTGCCTACTATAATCACCTTCTATTCTCTGCTTCATTCTTCTTTGCTTAAATGGCAGCCCAACCATCTTCATGTGGTCTCCTCAAACTGGAGGAACAACTCACCTGTCCTATATGTCTCGAACACTATACCAACCCAAAGACTTTACCTTGTCTACATTCATTTTGTCAGCACTGTCTGGAGGAATTACCTTTGGATAAGACCAACTATCTTACTTGTCCTACTTGTCGTCATCGTACCAAGTTACCAGAGGATGGAGCAGCAGCCTTTCCTGTAGCATTCACTTTAAACAACCTCCAAGAAATGAGAAACCTAATAAAGTATGCAGCAAATTTACCTAAACCTCAGGAGGCTTTGTGCATTGATCATGGAAAACCATTAGAGTTCTTTTGTGAAACTTGTGATACAATAATCTGTTCCCACTGCTCAGTCCGTAATCATAAGTATCACGAATGTGACTTAATCACTGACAGTTATACTAAAAACTGTCAAAAATTAAGAGAATGTTTATCGTCTGTCAAGGAAAAGAAAGAATTGCTCAGAAAGTCACTGTTGACTCTAGCAGAGAGCCAATGTGAAATTAAAGAGAGAGGAGAAGGAATCTTGGAAGATATACATGAAATGGTGGAAGAAATGGTAAGCGTTCTTCGTCAGTCAGAAAGGAAACTGATTGAGCAGGCAAAGAGGGTCACTAATACTAAATTAGAAGTTCTAGCAGGCCAGGCTAAATCAGCAGAAATGAGCTTGAGTCTTCTGAAACAAGTTGAGAATTACGTGGAACGGAGTCTAAAGACAAAAAGTCCACAACAAGTCCTGAATGCTAAAAAGCAGCTGATGGAAAGCATGAGTGACATCACTAAACGGGTCAATGTGGAGGATTTACACCCAAAGGAAAAAGCAAATTTTGTTTTGAGTAAAAATATCAAATCATTGCATCACATTGGAGATATTGTGACATACTCATCTACTGCACTACAGCAATGTAAAGTGAAGAAGGTTGGTCACTTTGAACGCTTTCCAAAACAAAAGAAAGTTTCATTTTCACTATCAATAGAGGCGCCTGATTCATCACTTTTATCTGTTCCCCTCTTTTCTGTCAGGTGTAGCCTAGTACCAGTTGGTAAAGGTGATCAACCCATTCAAACTGCAATCACTACCACCACCACTGATCCTGGAGTATATAGGATACAGTGTAATCCTTCAAGCAGTACTCATACTGTCAAAGTACAAATATGTAACATACAACTTGAAGATACTTCACTAGTCATCCCTATCAATCCTTATCTTGATAACATCACTCCAGTATGTGCTTTAACTGGGTTAAACTTGCCAGTAGGAGTTGCTGTAGCTGATGATAACCATGTTATAATAACTGAGTTTAGTGGTAACAGTATAACAATACTGAATGGAGAAGGAAAGAAAGTGAAGTCATTAGGAGGTGACAAAAAATGTGGCAAATTTTCTTCTCCTCGTGGTGTAGCGATTACTTCAGACAAACTCATTCTCGTGTCTGATAATCACAAAATTCAAAAGATTAGCATTGATGGAAACCTAATAGCATCAGTTGGTGAGAAGGGCAGTGGACCACTACAATTTAATACCCCCGCTGGGATTGCCATTTCTCCAATAACAGGACAGGTTTATATTGCTGATCATTTTAATCATCGTATACAAGTCTTGAATTCCGACTTAACCTTCTCTCATTTGTTTGGTAGTAAAGGATCGGCTAATGGACAGTTTGAGGCTCCATATGACATTGCTATTGACAGTCAAGGATTAGTGTATGTTGCTGATCTCGATAACAACCGCATTCAAAAGTTTTCTCCAGATGGAAATTTTCTGGCTCAGTTTGGCATTAAAAAATTTGGTCCTGGACGGCTTAGTATTCCATATGGTATAGCAATTGACACTGCAGCTACTGGTCTAGTGTATGTTAGTGAGCATGGCAATAATCGTATCTCAGTCTTTACTAGTGATGGTGTGTTTGTTAACAGCTTTGGAAGGAAAGGCAGTAATATTGACCAGTTTGCTTGTCCTACTGGATTAGCCTTTGATAAAGATGGATTCTTATATGTTTGTGATTGTAGTAATCAACGACTAATTATTTACTAATAAGGTTATTTTTTCATTTTGTAAATTTTCTAGTGCATAGATCTACTTTTGCAGGGTTTAATTTTCAAAATTTTTTGTTTTTGAAATCATAGATATTAGGGTACAGAAAATGGTAGTACTAAAACTTTAATGAGTTTCAGCATCTACTGGTCTACTCACTCTACTGGTATTAATCTACTGTAAGCATACTTCTTTGGTTCACATCATGTCTACTTGCATGACATACGAAGACATCCCATGTTGTTATAAAAAAATTAGGGAAATGGTGACCATGCAAAAACAAATAAAATAAGTAGAATCTCATTAATATTGGAATAATTAATTATTGGTATTGTAATTTGCAACATGCTTGAATATAATACAGTTTAATAATCTACTCATTATTCCTTCATATTAAATCTATATTCAGCACTACATTTATTTGTATATCTCCTTTCTCTTTCCTCTTTACCTTTTAGTGCCATTATTTTAACATTTTTCTTCTTCTCTGTCCGTATGAACTATATTCATGACAACAATAGATTTGATATTATGCAAGTCTCATTTTAAATTTAGATAGATCTAGTTTATTTAGATATGAGCCACACCCACACCTTCTAATTTTGAAGATGCTGATTTGGTGCAAACAGAATTCCTACTTTTCTAGTTTTCTCTCTCTCTCCTGATATGATGGGACATCAATAACTCTAGATTCAAAAATTAAAACATAAATAATATCTTTTCTTATTTTTTAGATGTGCTAGTTATAAATATGAATTGCACAGCCTAGCTAGATCTAGTTTGGACTGACATTTGAATAATCTGTGAGTTACAGTAATAGATCTAGCTACACATTACTTGATATTTGTGGTGTTACAAATACGTTTAATAATGCTAATGGGTTTACGCGAGCGCATGGAAGTATATTAAATGCAAAACTCGAACTGGTTGAACTAGCTAACCCATGCAAGGAGAGGTCACCCCGACAAAAAGTGGTGTATATAGTTTCTGAGTGCATGATGGTGCATATGTTTACTTAATCAACTCATATTTGGAAGTGAATTTAGTAAACCTGAACCCAACTTGTTATTAGTCGAGGATCAATGAGAGACAGTGTGGTTTCCCTGTGGCATATACTCTATATAGTCTCGCGTAGCCAGACCACACCCTCCGTGCCTCCGGGAGGGTCTGGTCAACTGACCATTTCTCAGTCATTCTACTTCATCTAAAAATAGGTGAAATGGATGCATCAACTGACTACTTGCTTCTTTGTGGCAGGGAGCTCAAGAGCAGGACCTAAAAGGCAAAAAACTAATTTTATTTGATAGAGATGCTGAACTTTGGGAAGAGAGCTTTGGTAGCCCTTTAATCAGCATAGATCAAGCGGGCCATGAGAGGGAGAAGATGTATATTTGTCATAGTTGTTGCTCTAGCTTTTGTCACATAGGAAGAAGGTAGAAGAAGAGAAGACTCAAGAGATACTATGTCAATTTACCCGTTTCTGGGTGAAGCAAAACAAAAAAATACATGCCATTAGGGAGAGGACGTTATCATCCCGTAAATCACCGTGGCCTGTCGTGTACGTAGACCACACCTACATTTAATCATGGCGAGTTACTCCTGCTCCATGTGTGGAAGTACTTATAGTTATAGAAATGGTCTTTCTTGCCATAAGAATACCTGTATTGGGACTAAATCCTCTGAAATTAGCGATATTACGGCTGCTGCTAATGTTGGAAATATTAATTGTCACTTTACAGGATGTGATACCAGGTCAGTAGCTCATGGTAGTATGGTAATTATATGTACTCTTGCTATTAGCTTAGCTATAGACTTATTGTGCTACATTACAGTATGTAGTGTATATGCATGAATATTATATAGCATGTATGCATTGATATCTTTAATTATACATTTATG